TCCTAAGCTGAGAGGCCAGACACCTGTGGGCTCTACCAAGGAGCACTCCACCCTCCCCAAGACGTGGTTGGGAACCTCAGCCCCATCACTGCATCATTTGTAGGTGACCCTGAGTAACTCAAGTTCTGCAAGACTTGAGGTCCTTTAAAAAAACAAACAAACAAAAAAAACCCCAAAAACCAGAATGACAGGTGCTTGGCAGTGACCGACACATGGTGCTGTTAAGACAAAACATTTAACAGCCAGCCCTCGAGAGTGCCCCAACAGGTACGGTGCACCCAAAACCCAAGCGTCCGGCCGGACCCCTACCACACCACTGATTCCTTGACAATTGCAGCCCCGAGGAAACGCAGTCTGCACACCACGTGCTGGGAAAAAAGGTGAACCCATCTACAAGCTGGGAAGGCTCTCGAGAGCCCAACAATGTGGGGGCAAAGCCTGTCCCACACCCCCCAGCAGAAGAACCTCCTCTTACCGACCCCCTCGGCAAAGGGGGCCGGTACTTTGCTCTCCATAGCCAGACACCCCCACACGGACCCCACTCACCTTGTAGAATTTCCTGAGGTTCTCTTTCTGAGTCTGGTTAATGACGGTGAGAACACGGGCGATGGATTTGCGAACAACTCGGCTACAAAAACAGACAACTCAGTGAAGACAAAGAAGACAGACAGTGCTTCCCAAAGCATGCCATTCAGGGCCTGCCCCAGATCTCACAGGGCAGGGGCACGCCCCACCAGCTCATCCATGTTCACCCAAGGGGCGCCCAACCCAGCCCAGGAGGAAGGTAAGGCTGGGGAGGCTACAGTGTACGGGCACCCCAGGCATGGGACTAGGGAAGGACTGGAGTGTCCAGTGCTTTTCGCGAGTTGTGAAGTGTTCACTCAGGAGGCATAATGAAAAGCGGTGGAAGAAAAATCTTCCATCCCGGGCCATATATCCCCAGGGCTATGAAGCCAACCTAGCCCATGCCCACCTTAATGAGCTGACCAGAAAGCATCATGCAGCAAGCTGGGCAAATCAGGGAAGCTTAAGGAGATGCAGCAGGAGCCACTTGGGAGGGAGAAACAAGGGGAAGTGGGCAGCCTGAAGCTGGGAACCAGATCAATCTGCAGTCATGCTGAGTAGCACCCACCTACCAATTGAGGCGGGTGGGGAAATCAGGTGCTGATGGGAGGGGAAAGAAAACGTCGAGTTGGGTTTTTTGAGAGCAGCATTAAAATGGGTCTTCAAGGACACCCTGCTCTTTCACTAGCCAAAGAAACTGAACACAGCACTCAGGGCAAAAGGACCACAGGGTCAAAGGCAGGTAAATGGAGCAGGTCTCCCAGCAAGAGGGCCCGGTTCCATTCCAAACCACAGAACCACTGAATGGGCACGTAAGCGGACAGCTCCTAGGACAACTTCAAAAACCCACAGATGCTCCCGGGGCGCACAAATTCCTCTCCCCCTACCCCCGCTCCCCGGCCCAAGGGACTGTGGTCCCCCCGTCCCTTACATCTTAGAAAGCTTGGAAGCCGCGCCGCCTGTCACTTTGGCGACACGCAGCTGGGACAGTTCCACTTTCAGGTCGTCCAGCTGTTTGAGCAGCTCCTCCTTCTTCTTGCCGCGAAGATCTCGAGCCTTAATTTTGGCCTGCGTGCAAGGAAGGGTCTAGGTCAAAGGCTCGGTGGCTCCGTCTCGCCCTCCGCCGCTCACAGAGGCCTCCACCAGCCATCCCCTCCTCTCCACTTGCGTCGTGGCCATTCCCAGGAGTGCGCGCGCCTCACGCGGGGTAACCGAGGCCCAGGCCGACGCCGAGGCTGGGCTGCCAGTCCCATTCCGCAGACGGGAAGACAGTGGAGCCCCAGCAGCGCACGCGCACCTCTCCTAGCCCAGGCCGGCAGGGGTCGGAAGAAGGCTGGCTGTGGTGGTGCCAAGCCTTTCTGCACGGTGCCCCACAGACCAGGCTGGTAGATGGGATCCCGGGGTTCACCCCGCACTCTTCACCCCAGCTCCCGAACCCCTCAACCCACGGATGGCAACCGATTTCACAGCCCTCACCATGTCTGAACGAGCGCCGCCGCCGCTTCCAGGAGAGAAAGAGGAAGGGGTGGGGCTGACCTCCAAGACTACTGCCGGGTGACGGCGGGCGCGGCCAATAGCGTCGCAGCGGGGGAGCACGGTTCCGCCTCCGCCACTCTCCCCAGCTCCGCGAGTAGCTCAGTGGTACCGCTCGCTCAGACGGCTACGGTAGTTCCAGCGTCTCCCTTCGGTCCCCGAAAGTTTTTTAGGGCTGCCTCAATCCATGAGCAGAGCAGTTGGGGAAACCGAGGCATGGGAGAGGCACTTTACTAGATACGGCATAGTGAGGATTCAAATTCGTGTACTCAGTCGTGTTTTCGTTTATTCATTCGTTAAATCTTTGCAGGTCCCCAGTTCGTGCTACTCTGAGCGGAGCGCGCGTGTTCTGTGGATGGGGGGCATGAAATATGAAATCCTAGGGGTTTCAAAGATGAATTAACAAGGCTCCAGCCTTGGAGTAAAGTCCGAGGTGGGCGGGGAGGGGCGGGGTCAAACGGCCGTAATCCAACTCCATAAATGTTCCAGTGGCAGCAGCGTGTGGAGGGAGAATTCATGTCCTTTTTTAGTGAAAAGGACACGACTGGGTTTCAGACTCTTGCTCTGTTGCCTGGAGCTAGCTGAGACTCAGCAAATACCTTCCCCTCTTTGGGTCTGTTTTCTCACCTGTGGAACGGGGGGTATTCATGAGAATTAGGAAGGTAACACTTAAAACTTCTCACAAGATCTGACGAGTAACAGTCGCTCAAAAATACCATCCGTATTAATGTTCCCTCCCAGTGGAATGAACACTTGAGTTGGGCCCTGAAAGTTAAAGGGGAATGAATTCACAACGCAGTAGGTATGCAGGCTTTCAGGCTGGGCTGTTTCATGGCTTCCCTAACCAGCAAGCATAAATCAGTGCTCCAGTGTCACTCCATTGCCGTCAACAAAGGCACACCAGCACCTCTGAGAGTTCTAGTTAGTGCCAGGTTGCCCCCTTGTTGCTGTCAGATGTCACCTCCAGGGGCATCTTCTCCCATCCCCTTCTGGGGTTTGGTTAATGGACATTAGCCTTGGAATAAATTGTGACACAGGGGACTGTGTCCCAAGTTTTCTGTGCAATCCTTTCTTTAGCTCCAAACATACTGAGTTAAAAATGATATTTGTGTGTTGTCTGCACAGCCAGCCTGCGTTCTCTGGGGGCAGAAGTGCGGCTGACACCCAATTTGGTGTTTCTTGTCCCCAGGCCCAGCCTGTGAATGCCTGTTGGATGAATGAATGAAACTTGCCCCAGGCTACAATGAGAAAGACTTTTAAGAAGTGGAGGGATATGGGGAGGAGTGTGCAGACAGTGTGCAGTCTTGGCACAAATTAGTCTTAAACGGAAATCAAAGAGTGCACAGGGACTTGGCTTTGCTCACACATAGTTCTGGTAGAGCTAATGATTGTGTCCATCTTTCTACACTTGAAGTCATTTGACTTCCATTGCTGTTACATGCCACATCCAATCCACCGGCAAACTCTGTGGCCTCTACCTTCAAAATATACCTGCACTCCTCCCAGCACTTTTATTGGCACCTGCCCGGCCCAAGCAAACATTGCCTGTCCTCTGGATTGTTGGTGTCCCCTCTTTTTTTGTTTAAGATTTTATTTATTTGTTTTTAGAAAGGGAAGGGAGGGAGAGAAACATCAATGAGTGGTTGCTGGGGGTCAGGGCCTGCAACCCAGGCATGTACCCTGACTGGGAATTGAACTTGCGACACTTTGGTTTGCAGCCTGTGCTCAATCCACTGAGCTACGCCAGCCAGGGCCTGGTGTCCCTTCTTAAATCATCTCTCTACTTTGGCTCTTGCTTCCATATGTGTTCTCGATACAACTGCTGGAAAGATCCTTTTCAAACTTAAATCAGAGCATGTCACTGCTCAGCCCAGAACTTCCAGGGCTGTCCCATCCCCTGTAAGACCACATCCTTTCCTCACCCCATGAAGCCCAATAGCACCCCCTCCACTTTCATCTCTTCTCATTCTTCTGCTCCAGTATGGCCTTGCTGTTTCTGGAACACACCAAGGTTGCCCCGCCTCAGGGCCTTTGCTTGGCTCCCTCCTTCATGTCCTTCAGGTCCCTTCTAGGGGACACCTACCTCCCTTGACCAGTTTCTGTATGGTACCCTCTCTCAGGCACTGCATGACTTTTCTCCCATCAGCACAGTCATCCCTGACATAATGTAGTATGGGTTTTTAAAATTCTGCCCCCCTGACTGGACTGGGGGTCCACAGTGATAAGTAGGGATATTATTTCATTCACCAGTTTATTTGGAGGCTATTCCCTTTTTATAAAATGGGCATTTCTGGTCATCCTAACCAGGCTGTTCTGCGGTAGGGGACAGGATAGGAATTCTTGCTGTCTTGTGGCCTGCCTGAGTCACAGAGGTTTATCCCAAGGTGTGGAGTTGAAAGACAGATGGGCTTTGCCTATCTCCAGGACCCTCGGGACTTACTCAGCATCTATTTCCCACTGAAAGAGTCTATCTTTAGCACCCAAGAATTAGGTAGCATCATGGTCTGGCATCTTTTTTTTTTGATCTGCAGAGACAGTTCAATTAGAAATACTCAAAGCAATAAAACGAGTCCCATTTCATTAACGTCTGGCCTTTATTACAGAGCACTATTCTATGAAAACAAAGACCCAATTTAATCTAAGGTTAAGCCCTATTAATGGAACCCTTCAAGCAACAGCCTAGGCACCTATTCCTGGCACGACAGGATTTGTCGTCTTTGACTGTGCCCTACCTCCTCCACCCCCGTCTCTCCCCACCTCAGACTCTGGGCTTCCTGCCAGCATATGCCTCTCCAGTCAGGTCCGACTTCTAGGCCTCTAGGACCTCGCCCTTCCTGCCAGGATGGTGGCCAGAGTCATCTCTCTCTCCTCACCGCCCCGCCCCCCGCCCAGGCCAAGGTGACTGCTACAGATACGGGGCCACCGCACCCTCAAGTCCAAAGGTCTTCATTGTCTTGTCAGCACCCTAAATACACTTTAAACGTCTTTAAATTCTCCTGGTACGTTTAAAAGAGGGTCATTGTGGTATACAAGGCAGAGGCCACCTCCTCTCAGCTCAGTGTAATGGCGTTCAAGTCTCCTAAAATCTGAGACTTAGGCTCCCCCAACCCTCCTCACTCCCAGGGCAAAAGAACTACTACTCATGCCTCAGTTCGAAGGTTTCTTCTCCAAGAATCCTGCCTGGCATTCGACAGGAAGAATCGGGTCCCTTCTCCTGGGGGTCTCGTGCTCCCTCAGTCTCGGCAGTGATGACCCCGGGAGTCCGGGGCTGTGCCTGCGCCAGCTCCTTCCAGGGTCAGGGGCTCCTCCAGGGCAGGAGGGAAGCCGAAGAACGAGCGCAGTAGTGGCGTTCAAGATGCTGGGCCAATGAAGATGAGAGTCTAGCGGGAGGTGGTCGGGGAAACTACCACACGGGCTGCAGAGTGCTTCCAGTAGCGCCCCCGCGAGGCTCCGCCTCTCCCCACCGGTACTTCCGGTTCCGGTATGGGACGGAAGTGGGCGGGCAGCGGCGGCGGCTACGCGCGGAGGAGGTGGAGGTAGTGCCGGGCGACCGCTTCCCGCCCCCGAGCCGGTTCCGAACCGAGTGGATCTGAGGTCGGGCCCGGAGCTGAGCCGGCTGAGCGGGCGCCGAGCCCCCGCCATGGCCCGGAACACGCTGTCTTCGCGCTTCCGTCGGGTGGACATCGACGAGTTTGATGAGAACAAATTCGTGGACGAGCAGGAGGAGGCGGCGGCGGCGGCAGGCGAGCCAGGCCCGGACCCTAGCGAGGTGGACGGTCTCCTGCGGCAATATCCTTCCCCGGCGTGGCGGCTAGGGCTCTTCTTTGGCTCAGCCTTCCCACTTTCCTCCTCCCCCGGCCCCTAGGCTGACTCCCCACTCCTCTTTACCCCAGCCCCCTGTGGTCAGTCTCCCAACTCCCGATCCGGCTCTCCTCGGGCCATGTTCCTTCCGTCCGAATATCCCCGACTTGCCTCTGACTCGCCTCCCCAGTCCTCTTGTTCCTAGCCCCGGCCCCCGAAACCTCCCTCAGTAGCGCAGTCCCACGGTGTCCCTAGACCCTGGTGGGCCCGCGTGGTCGGCGGCTCCGGGAGCGTGCCGGCGCGCCTCCGGCCCCGCAGGCCGCTCACTCCTCCGCGAGGCCTCTCTTTTCTTTCCCCGTGCCGCCTCATCTCAGGCTGTCCCTTCCTTGGACGCACCATCACTCCGTCCCTCCATCCTTCCCTTGCAGGAAATGGGGTCAAGCTCGGGCTTCACCGGCGGGAGGGGCGGAGGTGAGCCACCGCTGAGTAATCGAGTGCCCTGGGCGGTTCCCGGGCACAGTCCTCTTGTCCCAGCTGCAGCACCACACGAAAATAGGTGGGTGTATGGTTGCGGGAAAGAAAGGACGCGGGCAGCGAAGGCTGAAGCCTTAGTGCATCCGTGAGGGCTGAGATTAGACCTTTCTACTTCTCACTCCCAGATCATTCTGACCCTCCAGCTTAATGCCGGTGTTTCCCACCTATTCTCAGCTTCCTAGGAACACCTTAGGCTTGGGACCTCGATGGCCTCAGCCATGTTCAACAAGTGAGTTTGGCTCCCTCCCCCCACCGAACAGCCGCCTTGTGCAGAAAGCAGTGGGAAAAACTAGTAGTTTGGTGCTAAGAAAAACCAGAGAGTACAATGTGAAATGTGAAAGTAGAGCCCCACGACTGGAAATGACTATTTTTGTGGCCGCAGCAAACGAGCCTTTAGAAAACAAGATTAAAAATAGAGGTGGTTTTCGCAGCCTGCTTGGTCCCTTAGCAGTTTGAACACAGGAAACTGACTTATTCTCAGAGGAAGGATTTTTCTTGATTCAAATAGTGTTACAGGAAGTGCCTGCCCCTCCCCCGCACTTGCCAGGGCAGGGTTGAAGGCTCATGCTGTATATAAATCAGGTTCTGAGTGTTTAATCGGTTGACTCAGCTTGCCTGGGGAGTCAGGCCCATAGACTGCCTTTGGGAGGAGTCCTGCAGTGTTCTTCCAGTGTGCCTTTAAGACAAAACCCTTCAGACTTTGTTTGGACGGGAATGTGTTTTCAAAGGTGGGGTACAAACTTGTATTTCCTGCCCCATCAGGATCACCTTGCGGAGTCCTTTGGTGAAATGGCGGCACGAGGTGGGCCCCATGAGGGGTGGTGGATTCTGCAGTATGGTGCAGGACCCACACTTGGGCAGGTGGTACCAAAAGGGCTGCAGGGTCAGGCCTGCGGCCCAGAACTGCCGGCAGATGGGGAGAACAGGGTCTGCCTATCTGCTCCCTGGGTCTCGGTGCTGTAGGGCCTTGTTGGAGGTCATCGCTTGCATGCCACTGACTAGTGATGGGTTTCTTGCGGCCGCTTGGAGGCCTAGGCGGAGCACATGCAGGGGTGGTAGTTTCTCCACTGCTGGCAATGTCAGGAGCCTTGTTACTATGGAGAGTGTACCTCTAGGGACTGGGGAAAGGAAGGTTAGCAGGTGAGAACTGAAATCCTAGCAAATGTGAGGCCCAGGGAAGGAGGAAGAACTAATGTTGACTGAGTCCTTACCATGTGCCAGGGATGGACCTCATGTTAGACCATTGAATTTAAACTATGGAACAGGCTTCTGGGAGTCAGGACGGAGGTGAGGGGAGTAGAAATAGGGGTTGATTGATTGGAGTGGGAAGTGCAGGAAGGAGGCCCCTGCGGCTGTGCACGGAAACGGGTCACAGTGGGAGATAACACAGGCGAAATGGATGGAGCATGGGCTGCACATCCACATGGACCCAGCTCTGTCATGCCATAGCTGTGTGACCTTGAGTAGCTCGCATACCCTCTCTGAAGCTCAGTGTCCTCTGTGAAAAGGAGGAGAATCATACTGCCTGGCAGGTTCCGTGGGAACATCGCTAGACGACATCCCAGAAGGCTCCAGCACACTGCTAGGCACACAGCGGGTGTTTTGGCCACGTGACGTGGGTCTGTGGGCGGAGTGCAGCAGGGGATGGTGAAAGGAGCTTGGCTCTGGAGGCAGGCATACTGGGCTCGAAGGCCAGCTGGACAGCTTTGTGACCTTGGGCAGGCCACTTCCCTTCGCTGAGCCTCAATTTCATTGCCTTTAAAATGAGAATAATGATTTTTGTTGCAAACAGCAAGTAGTCATTAGCAGTAATGACATGGGAAAGCACTTGGTACAGGATCTGAGTCCTTGCAGAGATTTTAAGTAGTATGAGTTCCTTTTCTTCCTCGCTGAAGCACCTTCTGGTCCTCAGGAGCAGGGTTCTGTTCAGAGTAGTGGTGGTGAGAGATTCTGCACTCTCCTGCCCCCGAGGAAATTTGTCAGTGTTTGGAGACATTTTCAATGTCATGGCTTGGGGGGTGTGCAGAGATCTAGAGGGTAGAGGCCAGGGAGGCTGCTAAATCCTGTCTGTTGCGTAGGGCCGACGCCACATATGTCGTCTGGTCTAAACTGTCATTGGTGCCATGGTTGAGAAACCCTGATGCAGAAGAGACGAGGGGCTTTGCCCAGCCCCCACGGCCTGTTCTGGGAAGGGCCGGAGGCCGGCTTGGTAAATGGTATGCCCTCCCTGCACCCTGTACCTCCCCAGCTGCCGAAGGTCCGCTGTCTGTCAACACCTACAGCGAATGCTTGGGTGGGTTCGTGCTGCAGAGAGGCAACGCCAGAGCAGTGACTTTTTGTCCCCACAGACTAGTCATGCTGCCCTTCCTTCCAAATGATTTTGCTTGCCAGCCGTGCTACAGAGTGAAGAGCACCAGCCCGTGTTTCCTTTCAAGCCTCGGAGTCTCTGCTTATGGCTCTGGAGCACCACATTAGAGGAGAATTCTGAGGTGGAAGTTACCGGGGGCTGATAACAGACTGGCCCTCGCCTGGCTGGGAAAGAGGAATTCCAGAGCTGACGGAGAGGGCGGTGGGCTGCCTCTCAGAGCCCAGCAGGCAGCCGGGAGCTTGGCAGGAGTGGCTTTGGGGTGCCATGGGCCCGCTCAGTGAGGATGGAGCCCATGCTAGGGCAGACAGGACAGCTTTGCTCCAGAGGCCCTGTTTACACGTGGGCATCGCTGCGTGAACAGGAGTCGGGACCCGATTGGGCAGAAGCCATTCCTTGTTCTATTTTTGAAGCCTTTTGGCTGCAGCCAGTGTTTCAGATGAGGAAATGAAAGTTGGCTGATGTAATTCAGTTTAAAATAGGTGTCACCTTCGGGGACCTAACCTAGATTGTAATTATCTTTTGAGTAGAGGCTATTCAGAACTCAGCAGAGAATCTGTCAGGATTGCAGCTAAGGCTTGGGGAATGAGGTGGGGAGGATTGGCCCATTTTTCGGCAAAAGTTCTTACAGACAAATGAATCTCGCTCCTGGTAGCATTTGGGACCTCGTTGGCCTGGGGAGGTCTTGGAAGAGGGAAGTTTCAGCACATTTTAATTTCTTTAGTAGTCAACTGATACAAAACATCGCATTAAGAGTGAGAAGACCCCGGTTAGTGCCTTTGTTCTTCGCTTTTGAGAATGAGAAGGTGAGGGCGATAACCTCACTCGGCTGTTGTGAGGACCCAGCAGGGCCGAGACGGGGCTGGGAATGAGCAGGTGCAAGCAGGCCCAGTAAGATTTTGCTGGAAGTTACCCCTCGGGGGCAGCTGGCTTTGCTACTACCTTCCAGGGGCAGGGAGGGAGTGTCCAGACGTGCTGCGAGGGGGGCGGGTTAGGAGGTGGCAGAAGGAGCGACACGCAGGGTTGGCAGAGGTGCCCTCCGTCCTCCGTGTGGCTCAGGGAAGCTGGTGGCCGCCCTCTGAACAGGCTGTGCCCTCTGAACAAGCCCCAGTGGGAGGTGGATGGATGAGAATAAAGTGCCATTTGACTCCACTGTCCTGAGCTGTTTTTGAGATGAGTTCATTAGTCAAAGCACGGACATGCTCGAGCCTAGCCATCCTTAACTGGTGGTGATGCACAGGGGACATGCTTCGGGCGTTTCATGCAGCCTTACGGAACTCGCCCGTCAACACCAAGAATCAAGCCGTGAAGGTAAAGGAGGCTGCGCTGCAGCTCTGCCGGGGGGTGTGGGGTCAGGGCTGCAGTTGTCTCCAGCTGAGCGTGAGCTCCTTGGGCCCGGGCAGCGGCAGCCCCGTCTCTGCGTCAGTGAGTAATCTACCAAGGCAGTGAGCTGGCATTGGGCAGCGCTTCCGCGGAAGCTGCCTGGTGTTCCCGACATCAAAGCTATCCGTGTTTGTAGCGAAAGCTCCCCAAAGCAACTGTTCACTCCTCCCCAGAGCCTCTTGGAGTGAGAAGCCAGCAGCTATAAATTAGCTTGCCATGTGAGACTTACCGGTGGTTATGCTTTTATAGGTATTGAGTAGGCTTTATTTGCATAAGGATTCTCAGTGCTTTTAAGATTTCCTGCCTTTTAAAGCTGGGTGAAAAGATAGAGTCATGCTTATTGCCTCCCTGAGGCTAACATTTCATCGCTGAAGCTAGAATTTGGTCCAGGGAAAGGGGTCTCAGAAGCGGGCATTCTGCCGTTTTGTGACAGCATCTTGATGTAGACAATGGCTGCACCTCTCAAAGGTGGAGGGGGATGGCCCCCGTTACTGGGGTGAACGCAGAGGGAAGCTGCAGCCAGATAAACCTGTTTACAAAACAGATCTCCCAGTCCTGCTCCTGTGGAGTCTAAGGCCTGGCCGGTCCCATCAGAGGTGGTGATGCTTCTCCCCAGTTAACGACTGATGACTTCCCCCAGGGTAGTGGAGCAACTTGCTGGCATAAGGGATGCTTTGAAATTTAAATCAGTAAGGAACGCCTGCCCTCTTGTTTTTTTAAGTATTCCAGACAAATTAGAAATGATGTGGTGTTTCTAGTGAGCTCTGGCCCCTTGGTTTGGGGTTGCTGGGCCACGGCTCTGGGCCTCACTCCCCTTCTCTGTCCTCTGCAGGAGCGCGCCCAAGGCGTGGTGCTGAAAGTGCTCACAAACTTTAAGAGCAGCGAAATTGAGCAGGCCGTGCAGTCACTGGACAGAAATGGCATTGACTTGCTAATGAAGTACATTTATAAAGGGTTTGAGAAGCCCTCAGAAAATAGCAGCGCAGTGCTACTCCAGTGGCATGAAAAGGTATGTGAACATACTGCCCACCAGGCAGCCCACCGACTCGCCCCAGCCCCAGGGTTCACAGCAGCAGGCCAGGTTTTCCAAAGCAAAGGTCAGACGGTCTGCTAGGCGTGTGAGGACGAGCGGCCACACCCAAAGCAACCTGGGCATTTGGTCACTTGCCTCTGCCAAGGAAGCGCTGGTAGGGGTCCACTGTCTATGGTGATCACTGTTGGTTTAGCTGCTGATTTATGCCAGGCAGGTCATGGGCAGATGGCTTGTCGTGTCCCAGGTGGGAGGGAGGCAGGCTAGTTGGTGGCGGGGGCTCCATAATACTCCTTGCTTTGGTGGAGGTGGTGGGGCAGGGGGCGCTTAGGCATGTAGGCTGAGCCGGCCAGCCAGCTCTCAGGGCTTCCTGCTCTGGCCCCAGCCTTACCGGGCTAGAGGGGTGGTGGCAGAAACCTGGACAATCACATAAAGGAAGGGGCCTTCACCTGGAGCAGGAAAAGCTGTGCTCGTCTTTTGCTCATGGTGGCACAGGAGCGAGGCTTTTCCTCAAGCCTGGGCCTTGCCTGTGTGTCAGTGTCCCCTCACCCAGAGCTGCAGGAAGCACGCCCACCGTCACGGCAGGCCAGGCTGTCCTTCCAGAAGGACTCCATTGTGTTTTAAGGAAGTGGTTCTCTTACTGGGGGGTCAGTCACTTGGGCAGCCTCAGTGCTGGGCCGGGGTTGTGGCCTTCGGTCCTGCTGGTAGGTATGCTGCCTGCTCTGCCAGACGGTGAGCTCAGGCTCAGGAGATGGGGGTGGCTGTGGTGTGGGGGTAACTGAGCAAGCCCTCCGCACGGTGTGGAGGCCAGGCCTTTTGAGCCCTTTAAGGCAACCTGGCTCTCAGCCCTACTGGCATTTCTTTTTTCTTCTTTTATTTCCTTTTTTTAAAGGGTTTATTTATTTACTTTTAGAGAGGGGAAGGGAGAAAGAGAAACATCAACATGTGGTTGCCTCTTGTGCTCCCCCTACTGGGGACCTGGCCCGAAACCCAGGCATACCATTTGACTCTGCCGACTGGGAATTGAACCAGTGACCCTTTGGTTCCCAGGCCAGCACTCAGTCCACTGAACCACACCAGCCAGGGCCCTATTGGCATTTCTAACTCGGGTGCCGTGAGATGGCCTCAATGGGCATGTGTTGGTTCCAGTCCCTGGGGCAGTGCCAGCAGGCTGGAAACAGTGAGCTTGTCAAAAGGGAAGTTTGGGGGCTTGTCAAAAGGGAAGTCTGTTGCCTCCTAACTGCGCCCATGCTCCTGCAGGAATCCTTTTCAGGAGGTCTGTGCCATGGTGGGACCTAGGTCAGGGAGAGCACCATCCTGTGTCCCCTGGCGAGCCAAGCCCCCCTCGTCCAACCAGGTTCTGACACGTGTCCTTTTCCTGCCCCCACAGGCATTAGCAGTAGGAGGACTAGGCTCCATTATAAGAGTTCTTACAGCAAGAAAGACTGTTTAAAAAAAAAAAAAGACTCATGTTACTTTGAGAAGAATTTTGGATGCACAGGCTGGTGAAGAAGGGATTGACAATGGACCACCTTCCCAGGAACTCCCAACTATTTCAGGACGTGCATCCGCTGAAGTGTATTTTATTTTCAAGGTGGAGGGAGAAATTGTCTTACTGTTTCCTAAATCCTTTGCAGGATCGATAGTCTATGCCTTTGTCCACGAATAATGCAGAACTGACATTGTGACTGTCTGCCAGAGTGGCTAGCCACCACTGTTGGTCAGGTGTGTCTGTGGGCACTGCCCGTTTAAAGTGGGGGAGGGATGGCGGGGCAGGTGCAGATCCAAGGGCTGCCACGAAGGGGCGAGCTGGTGTTTCTGAAGCGGAAACCCCCCGGGGGTTTGTACAGACGTCCCATCCTCCCAGAGAAGGCGGGCTCTCTTGGGTTCATTGTAAAGTGCCTGCTGCATCAATAAAGCTCTTGGCTTATTAGTATATACTCTGCGGTGTGTCTCATGTATGTAAAAAAAAGTGGCAGTGAATGGGACGGTAATGAATGAGGGATCGGCTGTTCCGGAACCCCCCGGGGACAAGTGAGGCCATCCAGCCTCTTGCACAGCAGTGCCTCAGGCCTGGGCCACCGTGCTGCGGCTGCTGTGGAGAGATGTTTTGCTGAATAAGTATTTATTGTTTTTACTCTTTTGATTTGTATGTAATTTTGGAGCTTATTTAATTTAATAAAGTGCCAAACATTCAATAATTGACCTAGGCTTTAAAAGTCTGTAGTTTGTGTGACTGCACTGGGAGCGGGCCTCAGACGGGCCTGGCCCCGTCTCCTGGCACTGGGTCAGGCTGTGTGGCAGGAGCATTCTCATCCTGGAGTCGACACGTTCTCTTTAAAGGACTGAAACCAGAAACAGGTAGCAGTCAGCCTATAAATATAAAAAGAACATTTTGTTCCCTATAGCTACTAACAGTGAGCCTCTTTGAAGAGCAAAGATACTTTCTCCTCGTAGCACACGCAACTACCCTGTCTCCTGTTAAAGGTAAGGACCCCGTTCCTACTCCTGAAGCTCTCCCCAGTCACCTGGGCCCGGGACACAGTGCGCCCAGCTCCTCTGCAGAACCCCCACCATTCTGGGGAGGTGGGCCCAGGCTGCCGGCTCACTCAGTTGCATATATTTATTCACTCAGACCCTATCTGGGGAGGAACTTGCTGAAAAAACACATGCTCTGTGGCTCTTGAAGTATACAAGATACAATGTTCTGGATTTATATTATAATAAGTCAGAAATATCGACACACCATACTGTATCAAGTAAAACCCACTGTAGTTGCATCTGGATTGAAGAGCTTTAATCAAAAAGTATATTGCACCACATGTGACTTTTCTACAGCAGTTTTAGATAATATAATCCCTATTTACAAATGGAAGGAGAGAAGATCCAATGCTTATAAAGGGCTATATATATTGTCTATCACAGAATGTTTATACACGTGAAAGTGCATTAAATCACTTAGAATTGTTACTCCACTCTTCCTCTTAAAGCTGAAGGAAGTTCAACATGCAAGAGGAAAGCCTCACCGGAGTGAATCCTCTCTAAGCAAGTCCAGACTTAGTGATGGCCCTGCATCTACACCTAAACCTGCCAGGGACGCGGGTAGGGGCCGGCCGAGAGGCCATGGAGGCGTTGGACGGGCTCCACAGCTGGGCTGTGGCTGCCTCGGGCAAGCCCTAAACTACCTGAATTTCAGGATTCTTTGTGGGAACAGCTGGAAAAGTTACGTCTTCCTCATCAAAATTAAAGAACAGAAGGGAGTCCTGGTTTGTGCCCCCAACAGGAAAGTGGAACATAGCATGCGAACAGGACAGACACCCGCAGGGAAGAGGTAGGTAAGCGAAGAAGGGCTCCCTCGGAGGGCAGCTAGCCCAAGCGGGGACAGAGGTGGTGCTGCCCTTGCTTGGTACTTGCAGGTCTGGAGATGTAGCAGGTTAACTCTGCAAACCCTCGTTTTTCTGTTGAGATACATTTTATATGTGTTAACTCTAAGCATCATTGAAGAGACGTAACTTCACATCATGGGATAATGATAAATTTAGGAGCTCTGGTTACTAATCCAGTTTTCTAACCAGTGAAACTCATCAGACTAAATCAGTAAAAGCTTTCTCTTTTGATTTGGTATTGTGGCTTATCCAAGGCGAGCATGTTCCCCCTTTTCAGGAATAGTCCAAGTCCTTGTCAGTCCCCACCAGTCTCGTCTGCAGCCCGCTGGAGCTGTCTGGGCCCCACACAGGAATGTAGTGTCATCTTAAGTATTTGGGGTAGGGTGAGGGGGAGAGGTGGTGGCGCCAGTACCAGGCAGACCACCTCCAACGTTTTGGCCAAGGCTGGGGGGAGGGACAACTGCTGCTGCCTCTGAGTAGAGCAGACTGTCCTTAACAGTAGAAAACCTGTGATTAGCATTTGCTCAGTGTTACAACCCAGAATCAAGAGCAAAGCAAATGAACCGCCACCACTGCTTCAGAGGGAGCAGATGCTACAGTATGCTAGTGAAATTACAAAGGGAAGGAATCCCAACCTTAGAAATAATTTCATCTTGATGCTCCAGTTTCCCTTAAGAACACCCCTTCCAATACAGAAGACATGTTTGTAATAGTGAAGAACTTAGCTATAAAAAATAGTTTAGAATGGTTTACCAGCAACCTATCCAAGACAAGTACATTCATTAAGAAGGCAATTGAGGGTATTTGGTACTAAGGATCTTTTGATATATTTGCGAGTATTCATCAGTAAAATGAGATACTGCCATCTTCATTGATCCACACTGACTCCAGATCTTAAGGATGTACACATTAAATTTCTAGGTTTTAGAAACAAAGGTAAAATGTTTTCTGGAGAAGAAAGGTCAAAAACCTCTTCTAATGCATCTGAACCCAAACATCCTTACAGGGAAGGGGAATTTTTAAAAGCCACCCCCCACCCCCCGAGTGGGCTCCTGGCAGGAGCAGGTGAGTCTGGCCTGCAGGGCACCATTTCAAGGGGCGCTCGGGGCATCCAGCACCAGCACGACAGGATGGATCAGCGGCCTCCTCTCTGCGAGATGCTGATGCTTCAGCTTTAAGCACTGACAAAGGTCGGAAACTCAGGTGCAGACATGCTGGCCGGAGCTGAGATTTTAGCAGCACTGGGAATGTGGGTAGTGCCAGGACCTCCCTGTTTGTGACCAGAGTGACAGGATCGGCTACCTCCTGAGGTTCACGTCAGTCTGAGGGAAGTGGACCTTAAGTCTTGTAAACAATGTTTAGACACTTGTACAAAATACTGCAGTTACAGTGATTAAAAACCCACCCAGACTGGTGTGTCAGTGTTCTTTTCACAGAAAAAGTGTCAGCCCGTGGAGCTCCATCCTCGGGTAGTTTCATCTAGGACCATGGTGTCCGCGGGCTGGAGATGGATGGCCGGATGCTGCCCTTGGGAGCTGGCTTGGACCCGAACCAGGACATCTGCGTTTGAAACAGGAAAGGCTCCTGAGATGAAAACCAGGTGTAGGTGCAGAGGGAGCTGAAAGAGCCCTCTCGGGACCCCTGGGCCACCCCCTCACGCCCTCCACACATCCTGACTCCAGCCGTGACCACAGCAGTGAAGACCTCGGCTGTGGTGACCAGTGTTGGGTCACTACATTCTAAGGAAGGGAGGGAAACTAGAGAAAGAGTTGACAAAAACAAGGGGCTAAAGTTGTAGGTAATTTTTCTTGAAATTGTTTTCTATTACAGAATTTACGCAGGTAGTTTGAACATTCTCTCTCTCTTTTAAAGTCTGGGTGCCGGGGCCAGGCCTGGAGCTATTGGTGAAGTGACACCAATGAAACTGCTTTGGAAAACAAGGTCTGCTGGCCAAGCCCAGCACAGACCTGGGGTCGGAGGGCACGTCCTCAGCAAACACTGCCCGAAGCAAGCTCACTCAGAAGCGCCTTCGCATCTGGTGCGGCGGCGTGGGCTGCTCGCACCTGCCAGCGCTGGGGTCGCTAGCTGCATTTTTGGGAAGCCAGACGGTGAACTAGGGAACCCACCTTGTACTCCAGGGTTTCTTTGAGCATGTTCTCTTCCTCGTGTGAAAAGTTCAGCAACACCGACACAGCTTTTATAAGATGAAAAGCCTGAAACAGAGGGAGTTTTGCTGCCTCAGGTCCAGGTGGGGAGGGTGAGTGGGGGCTAACGGCAGTGTCCCTGGCTCTGCTCCTGGCGTGCGCTCCCGACGGGAGCCAGGGCCATGCCGAGGTCTGACGGCAGTGCCACGTGCTCTCTCTCCCTCCATCTTTCACTTCGGGGACCACACGATGACCAGGACACCCGCAGCAGCCATCCTGCTCCTCTGAGGGCCCAGGGGGGCCAGGTGGATTCGGTTCCCTGGACTCTGGTCCCACCCCCTGCTGCTCGGTCGGCAGGTCAGTGCCAAGTAGAGAAGTGACTCAATGTCCCCTCTGGTCAAACCCGAACTCGGGACAGGAAGGAAGCAGTGGACGTGAGGGAGCTGTCTGGGGCTCCGACAAATGAGCCAGGCCCTGGGGTGGAGCTCAGTGCCCGAAGGCAACTCAGAAGCCCTTTACCTCAGACTCCCGACAGGACATGAATTTTAAAACCACGTGTTTAAGGTACTCAAAGTTGACCTCCCGGGCATCAGTCAGGTCGGTGTGATTTGTGACAGAAGGCGTCAGGTTTGGCATCTCAGGGCCCGGCTTCTCCCGGACTTCAAAAAGCTCACTATCAGGTTTGATTTTCTGAAAGGCCACAGGAAAGATGCTACATTGAACCACTTAAGACAGCTCAGAAAACCACATGGGAGCTTCACGGGGCCCTCGCTGTGATCACCTGCTGGTCCCTGGCCACAACCTGCACAGGGCAGACTGGAAGGGCCCCACCCCCCAGGAGGAATCACCAGCGGCTGAAGAAGGCTCAGCCCCTCCGGGGGCAGCAGGGTGGAGGGTTTGAGAGGAGGGAAAGAGGTGACCTGGGGCAGTTCAGACATTCCCTTTATCTGTGTCAGGACACGTGTCCTGGGTGGTGAGCCAGGGCACAGGCCCTGCTCGCCTCCTGCGTCTGCGCCTGGCCCTCTGCCATTCACACAGTGCACACACCACCTCGCTGACTTCTCGGACAACGCGCAGGCTTGGAGAAGGGGGGTACATGCCTGCGGTCACACAGCTGCTTCACCCAGGCATGTTAAAGCTGGCAAGGCCACTGTCCTACCAGCCAACATGTGACATCTCAGAGACCCCTTGCAATCAATGGGGGGAAGAGCAGCATTGTCAGGCAGCAAGGGAGGGGGTCCGGGGAGGGCACAGGCAGCGGGGAGAGGAGAGGCACTCACCAGTTCCTTCTGCAGCGTCTTTTTGAGTTCTAGCATCCTCTGCTGCATCTGCTTTATGGTCTGCAACAAAGCCCCCACCCCGGCCAAAAGCCATTCATTAACGCACATCTTGCCATCTTTAAGGTGCA